CCCCAACAAAGTCTCTACTCCCATGAACGGTACTTGACATGAAGTACAACCAGCTTTTCAGTGTTCGTGGTAAAAGAGAACTGGTATAATGAAAAACTCCCAGTAATCTAGCAGAACTGGGCATGCTAGGATGCTATACAGACCTGTGCGGCTTAACATGAATGTAAGCTGGGTTCAGCAAGGCTCAAAACTTCCAGCTGAGCATCAGCCCTGAACTGCCTCCCTGCGAGACCCATGGCTGTCCCTGAACCAAACTCCCTGTCCTTCTGATCCTCAGAAGCCTCCTCAAATTTGTGCAGCACAGAGCCTGCCCTAAAGCTAGACCCATGCCAGCCCTTGGGAAAAAAAAAAAAAATGACACAACATTGTGCCTGAAATAGTATCTTGTCCCAAATCCAGACCAGCTCCCCTCAAAGCCAAGACATGGCATCTATGGTGCTAGTAAGCTGCAACCCAGAAAAAAACCTAAACATGAATGACAGAGATCTGAACATGGAGACAGAAGTGTCATATGAGAGTTTACTAGCACCACATTCTTAAAGCCTTCCTTCATCCTTGACCTGGTCTTATGAAAGTGAGCCATTATACAATGATTTACCATCAGTTTTGGCAAGAACTATCGAAAAACATGACTGAAAGGTAGGAAGAAGCACTTACATAAGTAACTTGTCTTTAGTTAAACCACTCAGCCCTTTCAAACTTCCTAATTAACATGAAAGATATTAATTTTCTTTTTAAAAATATTTTTCCACCTCTTTCATTGAAAGACCTTCTCCTTTTTAACCCTTCCCGCCTCCCCACAAAGTAGTTAAATAGCTATTTGGGTGCTGCCTTACCTTGAGCAGAGCTCGAGCAATTGCAATTCGTTGCTTCTGTCCACCTGGGGGGAAAAAGCTCAGTAAATTGAAATAGGAAAACAGATGTGAAGTAGTTTTAACTGAATGCCTGGGCTGAGCAGAATTAGGCACATGTACTTTAGCCAGGGAATGAAGATGGAGGGATTTTTTTAATACTTATGGCAGGCTATGACTTGGAGAAAAAACTGGTAACAAAAAATAACAGAATTTTTACTTCGCTCTACAGCATTGAGATTTTTAAAATAAGCAATATAAAGATGTACCTGAAAGCAAAATGCCTTTTTCTCCAACTACAGTGTCAAACCCTTTTGGAAAATCTCTGATAAAACTAGCAGCGTTAGCTATTTCAGCAACTTTCTGAATCTCCTCTGCGGTCACAGTAGAAGGATCCTCTGCACCATAAGCAATGTTTTCAGCAATAGAACAGGAGAACAGAATTGGTTCCTGATAAATTAAAAAACATAACTAATATGGTAGATATGTAAGTATATGTGTGTATTGTCTGTATCTCAAATAACATAAATTCCAGCATTAATAAATTAATATATTCCAAAATTAATAAACATAAACCCAGCATTAACTTCTATTATATCCATCAAACAAAAGAATATGTAAGCTAGAGTTAATTGAATTAAAAACAAACAAAACCTCTCCTAACACGAATTAAAAACAAACAAAACCTCTCCTAACACCAAAATGGGCACTGAAAACCAATTAAAAAATAAGTTGCTTTTTTAACTGACAAAACAAAGTAACCCTCAATTCCTAATATTTGAGGAAGAGTTCAGAAAGAGCTATTCATACAAACATCAGAAAACCTTCTTTATACTTTACTACATATCATCATTTGCAACGATGATGATTCTTAACCTCTACACAGATTTCATGGCATTTTGTGCATTTAATTTATATTAAAGCTCAAAATAGAGAAGAGGACTGGCAGATAGGACAAGTGATGTAAAATGGGAAAATGTCTGAAACAAGGGAAGTCTGCTCGGTTTATAAAATAGAGACATGCTATAGTATGAATACCAGTATGAATCTCCTACTGGTAACTCAAGTGGAATACATACATTTAAAAAGAAAAATGCTAATGTGCCCACAGGAAAATCATTTTTGCACAAAAGCTTTTGGTGGCATTATTACATAAAGTAGATGTTTTGAAATGCAACATATACCCAGTTATCCTTATGCTCTTAACCAGAACATCAACCTAACAGTTAATTGCACTGTGAAGCACCTGGGGAGATGAGGGAAGGAATATACATATTTTAATTGGTCAAGTAGTTTATTTTTAAGAGACCATTGAACATCTCTCTGTACTTCCAGAGTATGGGGGTCGCTAGGGAGGGGGCATTACAAGAATAAGTGCCAACAGTACTGTATTTTCATGCTTTCCTAATGGAATTGTGTTTGCCTGGAAACAACGCATAGCACAGAAGGTCAGTTTTCAAATGGTTGTGTAAAATACGATTGTGTAACTTCCATTAATACAAAACGTGATTAAATGTTAAGCTTTGTGTTACTTTCTTCACCAAATCATAGCAAACATCAAGATGGTCATACCTACACAATTTGCAACAATGTAGTTTCCAGTCTCCACACACACACTTTTCTTCTAAGCTAACACTTTGAATCTTTGATTATGTAAAAATAGACTACAGAATAGTGGGAATAGCTCTGAATACTTATTTTTAGAACAAAGCCTGCACAACAGCAGTTATGGTGAGATGAAGGGATTTCACTGAGAAGCAAGACTGTGTGGTTTTTTTAAAAAGCAGAAAAGTGAGGCACAGCTAGTTGATCACATTAAATTATTTCATTCACTTAGAAATGTATTTTCTTCCTTACCTGACTCACTGTTCCAACCTTTGTCCTGAACCACAGTGGATTTAACTGACGGATATCAAAGCCATCAACAGTGATAGTACCTTAAATTAAGAAATGGTAAAGTCAAGTGTGTACTGACAAGTACTGAAAAGAAAGAACAGTTCAGAACAACGACCCCTGGGGAATCGCATACTGGTGGATCAGAAATGCAAAGCTATGCAGGCACCACCGCAAGGTAACCATACACGCCAGAGGGAAGCACGGTGCATCAGTGGAACAGCTACATCAGGACCTCAAGCACAGGAACCCTGACTGTTTGTAAGCTGTATCTGAGATGCAAAGCATCAATTGTCACGAATGAGTGCAACACACAAAACATACCTGAGATAGGATCATACAGCCGCAGCAGAAGGGATACAATAGTTGATTTCCCTGTACCACTTGGGCCAACCAGAGCCATAACAGAGCCAGCTGGAATGGAAAGGCTAAAATCTTTGAAAATGGATGTTTCTGGACGTGTTGGATATGCAAACTCAACATCCTTGAATTCCAAAGCACCTCTGAATGTGTCTTTGCCTAATGTGATTCCCTCTGTATGACAAAGAATAAAATACAGAAACATGAACAGAAACAAAAATCAGTTCAGCCCTCCTAGAACTTGTTTTACAGACACCCAGTAGAAATATCTATCTCCGTGTTAAATCTAGGGATAACTGCAAGCTACAAGTCAGGACCACAGGGGTTATATTTCAGCCATGACTGAATCAGTGTGGTACACCACTCGTTCCTGAATGCAATTTCAGGTTGCTCACCAGCAGTGAGCCTGTAGGCTACCTATAGCAAGAGGGAGAATTTGCATCTTGCTAATACCTAGCAACTAACAATGTTCACTTCTAGTAGCATTATCTGAATTTTTAAACATATCATAAACAATTTAAGTTTTGTCAATTAGGAGCAATGAAATAAAATAGCACTGTTGAAGGCCAAAGTCCCTTTGCCATAGAAGAGATGCAAAAAGATAAACATTGCAAATCACTTACTGCCCTTTCACTGAGCCACAAAAGTCACCTGAAACACCCTCCTCTTTGAACAAGAGCAGTTCCCTCTCCACTACCTGTTAACCAGGTAGCTTTTAAGCAGAGGCTGTCACCGGAATAAAGCTGCCGCTAGGTTTGTTGCATTAATGGCCATTTTTTAGATTTTTTAAGTGGAAAGTATATTTAATAAATTCAGGACAACAGTGTATTCAAAGACCAATCAGAGGCACAACTCTTAGGCAACAGCTCACTGAAAGTAAAATCTGTTTGTGAAATAGAGTAACAAACAATCATGAATGAATGATTGATTGCCAAAGTTAAATAAAACCAACTCCTTTCTGGAGCGCAGCATTTGATTTAAACAATTATCTTAAAAGACTACCAGTACTAGAAAAAGCTTATAAATAGGTAAAACAAAGGAACACAAATTTCTTCAAGCCCTGTTAAATCCCAGCTAAACGTACCCATACAACGCAAACTAGGTGGACAGTGGTGCTGCATTCCCGAAGGACAGTCTCACTGAAGAAGTTCCTACCAGTTTTATGAAAACTGGCAGCACCAGAGCAACACCCAAGTAGTGTTTGTTCGTGCTAAAGACGTGATTCAAAACCCTTAATTCTTTGCAGACGCAGCACATGAGTAACCCCCAGCTAGCCACAGCACATGGTAGCACATGCCCATGTTTGGTTAAACAGGGAACTGCGGATAGGAACAGACACCCATCAGTAGCAATCAAGATTTCACTAGTCCTGCTGTTCCTAGAGCAAATAATTTATTTTGCTTTTCTATTTTGCAGATTCCCTCCTCTTCTCAGGCTCTCAGTTTAATGCTAGTAGCATAGAAATGGCAAAGGCAAGAGCATACAATTTCAGACTCCTTCCTTGACTTTCATCCATGGACATACACATTGTAACTTGTTAGGTAAAAGCACAATGGTCTGTAAACCTCCCTGTGGGAAAATAAATGTATTTGCTAAATCCTGTGCTAGTGGCATAATCGTTACTATTATCAAAGTAACGAGTAATCGCTTATCTTTATGCTCAGTTCCAGTTATTGCACAGTCTATTCCATGGCCTGAAACACTGAAATCTACTGCAATACAGGAAGCCTGGTACCGCAAGTCCTTCCTCTATATATTACTGTAAAAATATCTAAAAGCTATATATAGGGTTATGCTTGTTTCTTGCTTGGATTCTAGATACAGGAAAAAAAGACATTATAATTTGTTCCTGAGATATCTGTTGTCACCAACAACAGCTGGAGTTCCACAAAAATAAAACCTAAATAACCAAGAGAGATGTTTCAGGTTGGTTTGGACAGTAGAGAAATAGTATCTTGTTTTTATTCTCTGATGAGCCAGAAATCAACTATAATTGTTTTTTGAGACAAAGGTTTATATCTTTTCCTACATATTTAGTTTATACTGAAAGGAAACTTAGAAGAAACTCTGTAAGCCTATGCTACACAGGTGTCTGAAACTTTGTCCGATTTATGTTCGGTTTATAAAATAAAGATTGTTTTCGGGATGTCACTATTGGTGTAATTGAACAATTCGATACATTCAGTGTGAAAGACAACTTCTGCCCCAATACTACTGCTTACTCTGTGCTGGGGCCACCGTAAAGATGAAGACCACTGAAATAATCCAGATTTAAAAAAAAAAAAAAAATCACATCCAAATGATGACAAAATCAACAGTTGCACTAGGTCTATGAAGGGCACAGCAAACTGCAGTGTGGCACTGGAGAGTCAGTCATGGCAGGAAGTTTAAGCCAGCTTCCTTGCAAAAGACAAGAGTGTGTAGCTATCCCTTCATTAGCGAGTTGGTGGTTACCTTTTGGACAAATGGCTGCTATTCTAAGTCTGCCTCCATTCCTTGGAGACAATACTGTTACTTTTCACTGGCTGTGTAAAGTCTGTGCACACTGAAAAGCATCCTACAGACTGCAGCTGTGAAGAGAAATGAGACAGAGGCCAGACCGTGATTTGGTGTCCATTAGATTAAGAACTCGAGGAATTCCAGTGCACAGAGACAGAAGCAGAACAGAAATTTGAAGAACAGCTTTTCAAAAGAACCTCTCTGTATCAACCAACTCAAAAGATGAAACTTTATTCCCTACAGTCAGAGCTCACCCAAAAAATGTTAGGTCTGTTGGATGTTCTTTTCTGACTCTTCCTCTTACAGCAGCCTTTAAAAAGTTTCTAAATTAGAGGACCGTACAAAACTTAAGAGGAAAGCTACAGTGTTGACAGCTCACCTGGACTCTGCTATATTGCATTTCTTAACAACATACAGAGCTGGTGAAAACTCATGTATGACTTTTGCTTAGTGGGATGCAGCTGATTAAATAAAACAGCAATTCACACAGAAAGTATCTTCTACAAGCAGCTTGCTGAACTACTTTGATGGAGACAGGCAAATGCTGTTTATACAAAATATACTCAACACTGGAGGGCGTTGTCTAGCTCCTGAACAATAAAGCTGTAAATAAGGTGCTGCTGGCAATATATTTTTATTTACTGTCTTTAAATATTATTAGAAATTCTGAATTAATTAAAGAAAAACAAGGCCACCAAATTTTCAGCTTCTAAAACTTCTGATTAAAGGAAATCATCATCTGTTTCATAGTTAGGAAAAGTCAGGAGAATTAGCACTGTATCTAGTTTCTTTCAAAAGAATGTAAGTTAGTACTACCTTTAAGTATCACACACCTCTTTCTGAAGTACTGGTGACCAATAAGAGAAAAATCAACCTGTGAACAATAACAAACCAAGGACCCACCATTAAATGGAAGTTGGGGCTTCCTTTCAATAAGTTCCCACAGACGTCCACCGGCACCTAGTCCTTTCATTAGCTCGGAATAAAAGGAACTTAGACCTAAACAAAAAGCACACCAGTATTATGCATCCATATGGAATGGAACACATAGGAGACGTTAAATTTGCATTATACTTTTCATCACCAGCACTGAGGCATCAGACGTGGAGGGGATCTTTTATTCCAACACGCTATCAGACATGTTGATTTAAATCCTATCTCACTTCAGAGCTACCAATAACCCTTATCAACCATTCTTATTTATATCTGAAGACTATCTGAAAGTTTGCAACACAAGGCACTAGCATGGTGAGAAGCTGTCTGCTTGGAAAAAACAGCCAAAGCATCTACATCCCAGAGCAGGGCACAGGGGAGAAGGCATAAGCCTCACAGAGTGCCTTGAAACTGAGACACTGAGGTTTGCAAATTCACAACCACTCATAAAAAAACATTATATAATACGGACAGCAAATACTAGTTAGAAAATGTTTTTAGTTTTCATAACCTGTCTTCAGTATTTGGTAGAAAATACAGCAAACTGTTACAACAAAAAGAGGCAAAATCCCAAATTATGCAGTGAACTTCACAGTTCATTGCGTGAACTCCTATATGTATTGATGATGACATATACCGAGCAGACTTAGCACTTCGAAGATGGATATGCTTTGCAGGTGTCAAGGAAGGCAGGCTTCTTGTGGCAAGACACCTTTACTTCAGAGTTCCCATGAGAATGAGCTCTGTGCGGAACTATCTTCTTCAATAATCTTAAGTAGAATTTAAAAATATGTTTTTATCACAAATATAAGTTAATTTAATGACATTTCATCAGTGTTTCTAACCCTATTTTTAATTTATTTAGCATTAATTTGTCCCATGTTTTGAAAGTGCCAAGTATGTCTGTTAACCAAATTTGAATGATTTCAGCAGAGAAGAACAGGTTTTGGTAGTTGGAATGGGTGCCACTGGAATTTTCATATCCAAGAAAGCAGGTTTTGTGAATTTTGCCTTCAGGCACATCTTTGTGCTTCCCACGATATCAGGCTTAGTCTTAGAAAAGAAGAGCATAGACGAGCTGCATTGCCCTGCTGGTCTATCAGAAGGAACAGACTCATTTTAAAGAAGAACCCTTCCAATCAGTTGTCAAACTTCAAAGTACCTTATCTTCATTTTTGCCTGTATGCAGTAGTGAAGACTGCTCTGTCAAAAAGATGAACAGTTTGTTTCTGGGCCAGTAGATTACAGAGTCTGAGCTTCAAGGAGGAGTCAATCAGTAAGGAAAAACAAAAGGTTAGCACCAGAGTGTAGTGTTCTGCTGGCACTTTGTTTGCTCTTCCAGCTCAAGACACTCTATACTGAATTAAAGCTAAATTCTACATGCGTTTCTAAATAGAGTATGCTTAACACAGACCACATATTTTGTAAAAAATATAATACCTGTATTACTTCTTTACACAAAATACCAAGTATCTTAATTTAGACCCAAAGAAAATTAAAGTAATATGTATCTGTCACATACACATATTGAAAAACAACCTCTGTATTCCTTTGGGAAAACGGAAGGCTTATATTAAGTTATAAATTCTTATTTTCATTAACTCTTCAGAAAAAAATTATGTATGATTTCTTGGGAAGATCATTTGGAAGAGACCTTTTAAGAAAGCCAGATCTTTTTAGAGCTTCTTCCCTCCTGCCCCCATACCAACTGTAATGCTTTGAAGTGAAGAAAATCTAATTTCTCATTCCGTACCTCCAATGCTTATTCCAACCCAGAAAGCATACATTAGGAAAGATGAGAGTTCACCAACTGTCATGTAGGCATTGCCCATTAGTAATCCTCCTTTGTATAAGACTGAGAGGACAATTAAGTTTCCAGAAAGGCCAGTCTAAGGAAAAAGATATAGAGGAAAAGGCAGATTTTGTCACATACATCTTAAACTTAACCCTCTAAAATGTTGTTTCAGAATTTTCCTTCTAATAAAAGAATTCCCATACTATAGGTATCAAGATTGTTAGAGGACTGAGTTAAATTTGAACAAAACCAATTCTAAAGCAAACCGAGCCAACACCCACCCAGACATCCAGTGCCACTGCACTGCGCTATCCAACAAGTGTTCAAAAAGCAAGCAATTCTTTTTTTTTTTTACACCTCATTCCCCAAGATGGAAAGGAACACCAAACGTTATTCTCAACCATCATTAAAGGAGAAGAGTTGATAGTCTGCGGTTACATTGCAGTTTTAGAATACTATTAAGCAAACTCACTGCAAGCCGTTATGGAAAAATGCAATCCACTCTCCCTCCCCCACCCGCGCACTCTCCAGCTTCCTTTGCATTGATGCTCATCTCATCAGGAAGCCAAACCTGTAAAACGCTAAGGGTGGGGGAAGGTTTCCACTGGTTTAGTTCCCTGAATAGGAGGTGTGGGCTCAGATAAATAGTACCAAGGTATGGGGCAGAAAGAGAGACTTAAACTGGCTTTATCATACCACTGTATCTTGAGGTGCAGTTTCACAGCAATTTAGACTGATTTAAGTCCAGTCTTCCGACAGTTCCATGTAGGTTCAATTTACACTCAAATAATTTATTTGCAGATTTAGAAGTATCCTCATGAATTTTAAAATAATTGACGCTTGGCATAACATGGTTGGTTTACTTTCATCAAAATACACTTACTGCTCCAAAGAAGCCTGCCCGAGCTAGTGCCTCTTTTTTGGCCAGCTGTAGCACATAATCAACTTTATTTGTATACTTCTCCATTTCAGCCACTTCTTGCCCAAAAGCTCGAACTGTTCTTATGTTTCCAATACGCTCTTCAGCTAACTACATTAAAGCAAAGAACAAAACAAATACACACAGACACACGATTTGGGACGTTCATATTACAGAACATTTGAAAGTTAAACCGATATCACTACACTAATCTCCAAATACATTCCTTTGGATACCACTGGAAAATTTCTCATGCCCTCCTCCCCGCACCCCACACTCTTTTTTTTTTTTTTTAAATTCTATTAAGTTAAAAGTAAACTGCATGCCCAGGCAGTTTAAAAAGAACTTCAAGATTGCCTTGACTTCAGTGTTAGCAGGGAAAGAAAAATATAAAAGTAGGGTTAAAAAAAAACCACCTTAATTTGATGTGAACAACAGACATAAGAAAATTACTATTCACAGTAACTTGCAATAACAACGTGGTAAGGGGAAAAATAAAGAATATTCTATTCTACACTAAATCAAAAAAAGCCTGCACTTATTTCCTGAAACAATTCTACTCATTTGATCAAAGCAACACTGGGAATTAATTTAGCTCAACTACTAATGTCCCATTTCAACTCAGTATTTTATTTTATCTTCTACACAGCAAAGTATTAATTCTAAAATTACCTCAATTGTAACCAATTAGACTAAGTTGTTAATAGACACTGTGATGGTGTTACAAAAAACAAGCCCCCCTTTTGTGAGTAAAAATATGATATAAAAATGTAATTCTCCTTCTTCCATCCCCCATTTAACCTGAAAATTTGAATGGAACACTAAAATTGCTTGTTCATGTGAAGTCCCACACCTGGTTTACAAAGGCATGACCTTCCCTTCAATACAGGATGAGGAAGATAAACAGAAGAGGGCTGATCTTCCTTCTGCATAGTCAATTTGCAGAAGTCGTATGCAGGACATCCCAAGTTTAAAACAGCTGACAACTGTGGTTATTTTAACTAGGTCTTTCCTAATTATATTTCTATGCATTTTCATGATGTTTCCCCACCCTCAGCCTGTGAGAAAAAGGTCACTATCACTACTATTTCTCTGATAGCGCTTTGCAATATTTCAGTGCAGTCAGCAAACACAATGAAGGTCCCTCTACAACAGCCTCTTTAGAAACAACAGCTTCCTCTACTTTCCTCCCAAATATCTGGGTATGTGCCGAGATGCCCAGTGAAGTTTAAAAAAATGTCAAGCATGATAAACATTAAAGAGCTGACAATAAGGTCAAACGTCAAGGACTCATTCCAGAGAAGGACTTTCTAGCAAAGTTTTCTTAAAAGACGGATCCATCTAGGATGTTTCTGATGGCTTCACATTCATAACCATAGTTCAAGAAAAGTGTTTTTCAAACCTAGGTACCAAATTACACAGTACTTCATAGGCTGATGTTTTTATGCTCTCACACAGCTAAAGCCTAACCTCCTTACCCCCTCCTACATTTCCAAATTCTCAAGGCCTGGTACCTCCACGTTGTAGTGTTATGGACAGCTCTTTACAAAGCATGGTTGTTTTTGAGATCTGTAAGTAAGTGTTACTGAAGTTTACCTTTTATACTGCTCAGGTGCAAAACTACAGGCTCAGCATGGCTTAGGGCAATGAACAGTACAATTATCTTCAGAAGATCTGTGCTCAGAGATATTAACCTAAATATACTAGAGCAACTTTGAAGTTAACTAGAAAGCAGCTGTTGAAAGATTACCTGTGTTGCTTCTGCAAGAGAATCTTGGGTCATTTTAGTAAGTTTTCGCAAGTATCTTCCATAAATCACAGCCAGGACAGCCAAGGGTGGCACAACACTCAGAACAAATGCAGCAAGGCTAGGTGACACAAAAAACTAGAAGAAAAAGGTATGTGTCAGAGGTTAGCGTTCAGATTAAAAATAACCCACTGGAGTACTGAAGTGCAACTTCCCTCGCTAGAGTTTTCTAAAACTAGTAGGATTGTAATTTAGTGCGGCCATGCTTTAATTTATCATGTTTTATTTCTTCCAGGCAAAATATCCATTCCTCCACAGCATGTGGGGAATGTATCCCACAGTTAGAACAAAGGATTGTAAGCGGAGGGTCTGGATTTCATTTCTAGCTTTCTCACTGGTTCGCTGTGTGGTCTTAGCCAAGTATCTTAACCTGCCAGTAAACAGGCCTACCAGGAAATCTCTTGGGGATGCTGAAAGACATAAGCTATTATATAGTTTCTAAAGCGCTTTCACAACTTTTAAATAGTCTAATACAACAGGTTTGAGTAGAGAAATATCGTACACTACTTCTGGGTAACCGAGGAACAGATGGAGTCACCAGTGTTCCCTAGCACCCACAAATGCTCATAACCTGGAATAAGGGATTTAATTTACTGTTGCAAAACCTTCTGACTCCTAACAATCATCAAAGCTCCTAAATAGGGCAAGCTTTTATAGTCCACCTTTTCACACTGAATCATGGCAGCATTTTTGAGCAGAATGCCTTATATAAAGTTATTCCAGTTAATCTATGGTAAGATAAAACCTTAGACTCCATTTGCTTAGATAAATACAGAAAGCCATAATTCTTAGCAGTGACAAAGTGTTAAAGCTTTAAATCTTCATAGTGGAGACTCTTAACAGTTTCTAATAACATCGATCTTGGAAGCTTATTTTTATGAGGACACTTTTTGCTACCTGTTTTTAACTCCAGGTAGATGGCAGAAATTACCACACTTTCATTTAAGGTAATTGCCGCCAAGGTATCTTTTCTCAGATAAGCATAAAAAAATTAATGCCAGAAAAAACATCAAGGGAAGTCAGATTTTTATATAAACCAACTGACCACCACGGAATAGTAACTGATGCACTGCACTGAAGCCTTCATTAACACGCTTCCCACCTAAATATATTCTTTACTGACAGACTAAAGCAGAAAGACTAACACTTGTTGTAAAAATCCTCAGCAGTAATTTGATATTCAGTGCTGCCTTTGCTCACCTAGGCCTTAACCAGAATCAACCAACTTCAATGACTTTTACATCAGGGCCCTCACACCCTATTTTACCTCCAACCATGGGAACGTTATCACTGTTTTTAATATCTTCAGTAAGAATAGAGTTAAGCTATTTGCCTACTATACTTTGCTTGATAAATTCGGGCAGCAACAGCAGTTCATTTCAAACCCACATTCTCCATATTTTGGCTCTTGAGTAAACATCAAGTGGCTACAGGCACATCATCTATTGCAATGCAGTATGTGGATAACCAGTGCAATACACTTGCACCCAAGAACACACAACAGTTTCTGGACTGAACCACATTCGCACATTACCTAACAGAACTGAAACAAACTTGAAACTACAGGAAATGACAAGCAGGGAGGAGACCACCGTACCATCATTCCAACCCCCACGGATGCCTGTGCTCCTGCCCTGAGCCCATCTGAAAGGTTTTCAGTCACTGAACGGCCCAAGAGGGCTGTATCTGAAGATAAGCGGTTTATCAGCTCTCCTGTTCTGGTCTTGTCAAAGAAAGCGGTTTCTTGCTTCAGAATAGAGGAGAACATGGTTGTTCTCAAACGTTTCACAATTCTTTGTCCTGTCAGAAACAGAAGTCAGTCAAGCATGGCACACAAGACTACAGACACCAACAAGATAAAAATCACAGAATTATGCAGCACTGAACAAGTCACATCACAGAGTTTTAATGTACCAGAAAAGAGCGAACTTTAAGATGTCACGTAACAGTAAATAAAAATGAAAAATTATTCCAGCATGCTTATCTTTGCGCTATTAGTTTACCTTTGATCTGGTAAAAAAAGCTACTGATTCCAAGAGGATCTCTCAGCCAGTGCCAAGAATTTATTTCAGATCATTAGATAGCCTGACTCTGTGGAAAAAGATGACTCTCAGTAACACTTCTTGCTTCCATTTTTACCTGCAGTCTGCATGAGGTAGACACGAGTAGCATTAGCAGCAGCACCACATAAAAAGATTCCACTCAGCAAGGCACATAGGCTGGTCAGGCTGTCAGTGAAATCTTCACTGGGATTTGTATAAATAACGTCAATAACTTTACCCAGAAAGAAAGGGGCTGACATGGTAATGACACTGGAAACTGTCAGAAAGCCAACAGCAGCTGCAAATCAACAAGAAAAAGGAAAAGAAAATTATTCTGAATTTGCAAGAGCATTAATAGTACATATGAAATAATTTTTCACTTGAAATTTCTATTAAGTGTGCAAGTGTCAGCATTAAATAATCAGTACTCTTTTAAGCCCAGATCTGAACAGGACGTTTTAAGTCACTGCATAAATTAACTTAGGCAAGGCATATTTTAAGATCTTGAAAGCCTCTGTATACAACCACAGTCCTCGAATTGCTTCTCTTGTCTAATCCTCCCCACCACCACCCGATGAAGTTAACTCTTCACAGATGTCATCCTTAGAAAGCATTCACAGTTAGCAAGTCTCCCGTATCTCACACAATCCTGCACTCCTGTTTGGTTTGGTTATTATTCATGCTTGCTACCATAATAAAGTTTCCAACTGTCTATTTTATGAGATAGCAATGGACTGAAGTAAAGATCTGATCTGAGAACTGTCTAAAACATGCAATTTTATTTGGAAAAAAACTCAAACAAACAAAAAAACCCATTTGATTTACTCTTGACTGGCAAAATTTATGTACATTTGTTTTGTTTTACCCTTTACCATTGTTGGTCTGAAAGAAAAATAGCGTAAGTTTGAATAGAAGTATGGTTTGGTTATTATTCATGCTTGCTACCATAATAAAGTTTCCAACTGTCTATTTTATGAGATAGCAATGGACTGAAGTAAAGATCTGATCTGAGAACTGTCTAAAACATGCAATTTTATTTGGAAAAAAAACTCAAACAAACAAAAAAACCCATTTGATTTACTCTTGACTGGCAAAATTTATGTACATTTGTTTTGTTTTACCCTTTACCATTGTTGGTCTGAAAGAAAAATAGCGTAAGTTTGAATAGAAGTATGTTTGCTGATGAGCAGAGCGCTTGAATTCCAGTTGCACGATCACCGATGGAACAACCTGTGTAACTGTTTGAAGCTGTATAACAGAGTATGAAAAATCACACTGGACCAAGACTTAGCCTTCTGAACTTTAATCTGCAAAGAAATTTCTTGAGCCAAAAACACAGCTTGATTCTGAAAAGGCAAGCCAAGCTTGGAAGGCTGAGAACCAGGAAAAAACCCTCTTAATTGAAAACTGATCAAACTTGATATGAAAACCACTGAACCACAACAAACAATACCATTTATATAGCATAATTTTCCAACAGCCAACCCCACACTAAAAGTAACCATTCATAGGATTGCTACAAAACTACTAGCAGCTAATGCCTTTAAAGGCAAAAAGACACTGTACTGAAAATCCTGAAGTTGCCTGAGTTTTAGTACCATTCTACTGAGCTTCTCGTATTGCTTCTATGATGAAGACAGCAGAGAGCCTCTGAGCAGCTCATTGCTGTAAGCAATATTTCTAACATCTGTCACAGATGGTTCGATGCCTCTTACCACCTCCGCACACACGTGGAAAGCTTTGTTTCAGTTTGTATTTGAAGTGTAAATACAGCTGTGCATTTATGATGAAGAATTCAAGGTACAAAAGTGCACCTTCACTGCAGTGCCCCAGAGCAGTCCTGGGAGAGCTCCACACGCTGCCCAAACAAGCTCTATCCTTGCCATTGGGTCCAACCTGCTGCTTGCGGCTCTTGTTCAAGATTTGTTTGCCATCTTTCTGTTGCATTACACTCAGGCCAGCAAGCATGTTGAAGATAAAGGATTCAGATATTTAACTTGAAGCTATAGAAACTATAAGAAGCCAGAGTAGAAAGGGAAAAGCTTCCTGCTGCAAACTTACGTGATCCATGCCATAGACACATCTCGTAAGCATATTATTTACCAGCTAAAACTTCCTAAGAACGAGTGACCTTATTAACAGGCTGGCTGCATTGGCGCATTCAAGCTGTGAAGCTGCGGGAAAAACCCAACAAAAGCCAGGTCATCTCCTGTCAGGAAAAGCTGGTCTATAAAGCAGCTGGAGATGGTCAAAAGCATTGCTTCTAAGCACAATGCTGCACAGCAGCTCAGTCTCCACTAGTCCAGACAATTTCTCAGTTATGGATGGAACTAGACAACTGCATATATAAATATTCCCTGAAGGAAGAGAACTGTATGGCTAAAAATCCCATATGTCTCTCGTCTAGCCGTACAGCCTTCCTGGCTTGGATTTACCTTCAGCTCTTCGTCATTCAAACTAGCACAGGTTTCACTGTAATTACTTCCAACAGCCTTAACTGAACTAAAAGCAAATGCTAGTACATACAGCAAACGGAAGACTACTAAACATTAGACAAAGTTTCAATAATATATTGGAACAACGCAGTCCTGAAGAAGCTTATATAATCCAGATGTGACTTTTAATTTTCCCCTTAAGCAATATACCTGTCTATATTAATTTAATCACAAATCACATGCAAAATAAGGTTCCCTAATTTAAACTCTTACTTTGATTATACCAGCAGAACAACTAGAAAATAGCACAGATGCCAGGCTGTTGCTCTTTCTTTTTGTTTTAAACTGTTGACTAATTGAAGAAAGAGGAATCAGCAAACACTCATTCTATCTCCCCATTCAAAGAAGAGCTGTCATTGTGATAACTGGCTAAAGGGAGGAGTACGAGGTGTTCAGCAACCAGATATGAAGACACTTCAGTGACGCTGAAGGTTGTTGCTGACAGAAAAAAGGTCAGAGTGAACTTTATAGTTTCACATAGCTTACTCTGCTACCCCGAAAATTATGTCAAAGAAAAAAAAGTGTATTTTGCAAGCTTTATTTTTTTAGAATAAATCTGTTTCGTAGGCTATGAGATGAAAACAAAGAAAATGTGAGGCAGATCAATGGAACTTTTATAAAACCAGGGCTACACCGAAGTGGCAACAGAAGCAAAGACAAAGCAAACTGGCTCCAGCAGCAGCTGAGCACTCCTTTTGGAAATGTCAGGCAAACATTTTGCTTGTCTACTTGCACAGAAATCCAGATGGCTGCACAGGCAAAGTGATGCCTTTATCACTATTGAGATCAACGTGCTCTCTGTTAAGGCTAATGCGGGCTTGCTTCTTGACAGCAGATCTGCAACTTCATTTCATAGTAGATGTATCTGGGGGCAAGGAACTGGTCACCAACTGATAAACCAGGACGTTTACAAGCAATAACTAGGCAGAGCTATCAGAAACCTCTCTTCAGAGCAAGGACTAAGTGACTTGAAAGAGTCATAAACCAAATTTCTACGTGCAAGAAGAACACCAAGAGAGTGAAAGTTTCTAGTTTTCCTGGTCCTTTCCAGAGCATCCTTCTCACCCAGAACAGTATGTGGAAAAGTACAAAGCCAAAAAATTGCTTGCAAGTCTGTTGGGGGAAGGGCTATTTTAAACACAAATACATAAAGATTTTACCTCAGATGACTTAAGATCATTCAAGGCAATCAGGGATGAAGGACAGAAAAATGAGGTAATGATGATGCTTGGCAGCACATGGTAACACAGCAACAAGACCTAGTTTTTTACTATTCAGTAAGGTTATGAATGTTACCTCCCAGAATCTTGTAAGTATTTTAGCGGTTTCATTTGAAGACCAGGGCTGGCAGGTCAGAAAGCAAGCTTTGGATTTGTGAGAAGTACCCTTCTACCAGTAACCGAGAACGTCTGTCCTTTACCAGTTACCTGTGCAGTTTTATTCTAATACGCAATGAGTTTTTTAGCTTAACACTGAATTTCCACAAGGGCATTTGGAGTGACGAATAAAGTCTACTGTATTCTATGATGCACATGCACGGGGATTGGGCTCTTCAGTTGTTCTTTTATGGTAGAAAGATGCACTGACAAATTTTATATTTGTTGGTTAGGTAAAGTCCATTTCCATTTGGTGAATCCTGGCCCACAAGGAATTTATTTTGGACTGGCTGAAGGCCTGGTATCCACCCTGCCAAGAGTCAGTTCTGCAAATATTTATTTCAACATAGAATCTTCTTCCGGAGTACACAATAAACACTTAAGGATGTTCTGTATAGTTCTAGGTTAGGTATGACTGGTGTCGTTTTCTTTCTGTGTTAAAGTAAATTCATAGATGGTATCTGGACTGCACCTACTATTATGCAAGAAGAACCTTTTATAATCATCGTCCTTACGTTACTAAGAACAATTGTAATACTCTGCTCAAAAAAAAAAATACAGTATGTGTCTGACAGCACCGTTGTATACGGCATTCTTGGTGCATTTTGGAAAGCTACTAGTTTTTTGAGTGGAGTTCTGTTAATTTGTAGGTATTGTCAATATACTGAATCTTGCAAGTTACTATTTCCAGTGATGATCACAGTTTCTAGAAAATATTTATGGGAGTATTCTATAGACAGTTTGATGTGGCTATTGAATCTGTGGTGGTTTTTCTTTCCTTTTATAATTTTTTAAGCATGAAAGAGCAGTTCAGGTTTCCAAATGGTAAAGACTGTTTTCTTTGGTACAACAAAAATACAGTTGCACAGCTTACTGAAAATATCTTCAAGACAGCTCATGAGAAGGCTGGCATACTGTGGGTCTGACTGACCAAGATTCTACAACAGTTTGGAGAAATTAACACTTGCAGAAAATTGCTGTGAGACAGAATTAAACAAGACAGACAGGCAATACCTTTGAGATAGTGTCTCGAGAACAAGATGGGTGTCCAGGGTTTGGAGGGCACAGTGAGATATCAGCACAGGAGCGAGCCCCAGAGCATTGGCTGGTGGCATCCCTCATGCTCAGAACATTTACACGATGCGACTTACAGAAGTAGTCTATCACCTTGAAGAAAGCCTGCTCTTTGAGTCATCAGGTGTTCAGGATTGACAGAAATCACCGTCAGTAGCTCCTCAGTGAGGCTCCCATGATCAAACAGGACAGACCTGCGAGGAGTCCTTTGCTATGGAGGAAAGAAAACACCAAGGAGCCTTTGCAGAGTAGGCTATAGAGGGTTTCTCAGAAGAGCTTTCAGAGAAGATATTTAATGGGAGAAGTGTCCTTCCAGGCAGAGCAGAACACAGTGATTTGAGGAAGCCCAA